TTCAAGCTCTGTATTAAACACTAGTACCTCTGTACTAGCATGCGCTATGTACAGACCTCGTGGTACACATGCAGACCTTTAATCAAACTTCCTTAATGGAAAATATTGACTCTTCTGCTACAAACACAAACTGTCAACATATTATAATTGTTGGTGACTCAACCAGCACCTTTTTACAGAGGGACTTTGATGACCTTCTTTGCAGTGTTTGACTGAGAAACTTTGTTGATTTCCTACTCATATCTCTGGCTCCTCACTTGACCAGTAGTGAGTGATATGGCAGGAAGGCCATAGTCACTTGTAACCCCTCGGCTATGTTGGATCGTTGACCACAAGGCTGTTTTTACGACATTAAGATCCTAACAGAACGAGGTGAGGAGTCCACACGCACAACCTGGCTATGGGAAAGAGGTAATTGGCCAGCCCTTTGCTCTGAAGCGCGCCACCACCGACTGGACATGCTCTTTCAGGTGGATGTTGACAAAACCAAGTGAAAAGCTTCACTGGACACATCCTTAATCTACAACAAGAACACATTTCCTCACCGGCAATATGTGACGAAGCCTACAGATCAGCCTTGGTTTAGGCTTTCGTGTAGACGAGGCTGACTCTAACTTCGCTAAGTACAAGCATGTTGAAGTATAAGAGACATCTACCACCTATAAACAGGTACTTGACATGCAAGCTGTAGGCAATATGAGGTGATGTTCAAAAGTGGGCCATTGCTAAATGGGAGTGGACACTAAAAGAAAAGTTAGCATTCAGGTAGGGTAGGCTCCAAAACCTGTTGGTCCATGGTCAAGGAAGACAAGGTTAGTCTGCTGATGAACTTAATTCACCTTAAATCGACAGATGGGACCACCTCTACTAGTAGTCACGAAGAAGGCGGACCTCTTTGCTGAAACACTTTGCTACCAAAATGCAAGTTCCTGATCCAGCAAGGGACCCTCCTTGGCTAGCTGCAAGAACTGTGTCAAAACTGTCAGTGGTGACAATAAGGCAGGAGGAGGTGCATTTCCTACTTAAATCGCTTGACCAAGAAAAGGCTGTGGGCCCAGACAAGTTGAGCCCAAGATTGTTGAGACGATGTGCAGACCAGCTAGCAGCACCTCTAACTTCCATCTTTCAGCACTGCCTAGTACAGTGTAAATGGCCCTCTCTATGGAAAGAGGCAAATGTAGTCCATGTTCACAAAAAGAAGAGCAGAGCAGAAATCAGCAACTACAGACCAGTGTCACTCCTGTCAATCACTGGTAAGATCCTTGAGACAATAATCTCAAGGCAAATGAGTTTTTTGACTACCACTCACTACTTTGTGATCGTCAATATGGCTTCAGGAAAGGTTACTCTGCTGCTGATCTGTTGTTAAACCTCTCCACTAAGTGGCACCAGTCACTGGATGAATCCAAAGTCAGCTGTGTGGTAGCCCCTGGACATTGCTGGTGCTTTCGCCCGGTGGTGTGGCACCAGGGCCTCTTAGCAAAACTTCAAGCATGGGAATGCAGGCTCTATGCTATGTCTCCTCAGTGATTACTTCATGGTAGATCTCTAAGTGTAGTTTCAATGGAACGGAATCAGCAAGGCACCTATTGGGGCAAGCGTTCCACAAGGAAGCGTGCCTGGGTCCCTGTTATGGAATGTCTACTTCAACGACCTTCTTCATCTCATCCCAGAATCACATGCATATGCAGACGACTGTACACTGACATTACTTATCCAAGGAAGAAATGCCAGTGCTCTAAGCTACATAAATCACCAGCTGAGAGCTATATCAGCTTGGGGAAATAGATGGCAAGTAACATTTGCACCTGGGGAAAACGCAAATGATGATCGTCTCTAGGCACCATGATGGTAATGCTGGTGCAGTAGTAAGGATGAATGGAGGATGTTGGCACCTGGAGAAGAAGTTGATATCCTTGGGGGGAATTTGACTCCAAACTAACCATGAAGAACCTGTTGTAAATCTTGCAAAAAAGGCAGCCAGGAAGCTTACAGCACTTGCCGTATCTCCATCTGCTTGACAGTAGGGGTTTTCAAGATCCTGTACGAGGCACAAGTACGCTCACACCTTGAGTATGCTCCACTTTCTTGGTTTGCCCCGCCCCCCCCTCTCATCTGCGACGCTTGACAAAAGTAGAGAACAGAGCAAGACGTCTCATCTCTCGCCTGGACCATCCTGGATAGATCTGTCATTTCAGCAGAGCCTTCAACAGAGAAGGGATGTGGGTGGCCTTACTGTTATGTACAAGGCCAATATTGTCAAAATACCACACTTGGATCCACTTCGAGGACAGCGTGAAACAAGCTTTTATGCCACAAGAGGGCGAGAAAGCAGCAACTTCACTCTGGCTGTACCCTTCTCTAGAACATCACTCCATCTGAGATCATACATACCCAGGATGACTCGAGTATGGAACACATTCGTACAGCATAATGATGTCAACGAGATAAAGTCAGTTGATCAAATGAAAATGCTGGCCCACAGATGGCTCCAACTTCATCCTGTTCCGTACTTGTATGTCTCATAACAATAAAAATGCTTTCAAAATGAGCTGATGTAGGTAACAGCTCTTAGCTTGCCAATAAAGTTAGGAATCCTTAACCGTAATATAGCTGTCAATAAAGTAGGGATCCTTAAACCTTGTCAAACCCTGTGTAAAAAAAAGAGAGAAGAAGAAGAGAGAGAGAGAAGAGAGAGAGAGAGAGAGAGAGAAGATAGAAAGATAGAGAGAGAAGAAGATGAGAGATAGAGAGAGAAGATAGAGAGAGAAGAAGATAGAGAGAAAAGAAGAGAGAGAGAGAGAGAGAAGAGAGAGAGAAGAAGAGAGAGAGAAGAGAGAGATAGAGAAGAGAGAGAGAGAGAGAGAGAGAGAAGAGAGAGAGAAGGAGAGAGAGAGAGAGAGAGAGAAGAGAGAGAGAGAAGAAGAGGAAGAGAGAAGAAGAGAGAGAGAAGAAGAGAGAGAAGAAGAGAGAGAAAAGAAGAGAGAAGAAGAAGAGAGAAGAGAGAAGGAGAGAGAGAAGAAGAGAAAGAGAAGAGAGAGAGAGAGAAGAAGAGAGAGAGAGAAGAAGAGAGGAGAAGAAGAGAGAGAAGAAGAGAAAAGAAGAGAGAGAGAGAAGAGAAGAGAGAGAAAAGAAGAGAGAGAGAGAAGAGAAGGAGAGAGAGAGGAGAGAGAGAGAGAGAAGAGAGAGAGAAGAGAGAGAGAGAGAGAGAGAGAGAGAGAGAGAGAGAGAGAGAGAGAGGAGGAGAGAGAGGAGAGAGAGAGAGAGAGAGAGAGAGAGAGGAAGAAGAAAGAGAGTTGAGAGTGAGAGAGAGTGAGAGTGAGAGAGAGTGAGAGAGTGAGTGTGAGAGAGTGAGTGTGAGAGAGTGAGAGTGAGTGAGAGTGAGTGAGAGAGAGTGAGAGTGAGAGAGTGAGAGAGTGAGAGTGAGAGAGAGTGAGAGAGAGTGAGAGTGAGAGAGAGTGAGAGTGAGAGAGAGTGAGAGAGTGAGGGAGAGAGAGAGAGAGAGAGAGAGAGAGAGAGAGAGAGAGAGAGAGATTGCATTTTCTTGGACTATAAGAAGGCATTTGACACAGTTCCACACAAGAGATCAGTGCAAAAGCTGGAGGACCAAGCAAGGATAACAGGGAAGGCACTACAATGGATCAGGGAATATCTGTCAGGAAGACAAAAGCGAGCCATGGTACGTGGTGAAGTGCCAGAGTGGGCGCCTGTGATGAGTGGGGTTCCACAGGGACCCGTCTTAGGACCGGTGCTGCTTCTGGTGTTTGTGAATGACATGACAGAAGGAATAGACTCAGTAGTGTCCCTGTTTGCAGATGATGTGAAGTTGATGAGAAGATTCCAATCGGATGAGGACCAGGCAGAACTACAAAGGGATCTTGACAGGCTGCAGGTCTGGTCCAGCAACTGGCTCCTGCAGTTCAACCCCACCAAATGCAAAATCATGAAGATTGGGGAAGGGCAAAGAAGACCGCAGATGGAGTACAGTCTAGGGGGCCAGAGACTACAAACCTCACTCAAGGAAAAAGATCTTGAGGTGAGTATAACACCAGGCACATCTCCTGAGGCGTACACCAACCAAATAACTGCTGCAGCATACAGGGTCCTAGCAAACCTAAGAATAGCATCTTAATAAGGAATCATTCAGGACCCTGTATACTGTGTACGTTAGCCCCATGCTCCAGTATGGGGCTAACGTACACAGTTTGGAACCCACATCTAGCGAAGCACGTAAGGAAACTAGAGAAAGCGCAAAAGTTTGCTACAAGCCTAGTCCCGGAGCTAAGGGGTATGTCCTACTAGGAGAGGTTAAGGGAAATCGACCTGACGACACTGGAGGACAGGAGAGATAGGGGGAACATGATAACGACATATAAAATACTGAGAGGAATCGACAAGGTGGACAGAGACAGAATGTTCCAGAGATGGGACACAGCAACAAGGGGTCACAGTTGGAAGTTGAAGACTCAGATGAATCACAGGGATGTTAGGAAGTATTTCTTCAGTCACAGAGTAGTCAGGAAGTGGAATAGTTTGGAAAGTGATGTAGTGGAGGCACGATCCATACGTAGCTTTAAGAAGAGGTATGATTAAGCTCATGGAGCACGAAGTGACCCAGTAGCGGCCAGTGAGGAGGCCGTGCAAGGAGCTGTGACTCGACTCCTGCAACCACAACTAGGCGAGTAACAACTTGGCGAGTACATTCTTACATTTTGCTGCGCTGGAATTTTACGTTCACTTTGCGCTATTCCTTTTATGTATATCGAGACAAAGGGGAGATTTCTGGGATATGAGGATGCCTTTCACAGATCACACACCAACCAAAATACATTTAGCCTATCACAAAGTTACATAATATGCTACACCCTATTAAAAAAAATACTAAAGCCTAATTCCCCTTTGACTATTTTCCTTTCGTGACAAACTTTACTTACATGGAGCCACACACTGCATCTGATGATACAGATTCTTAGCCTCTTTAAGTAGTACAGAACACTGACCTACTAAGATGATCTTTGACTTCCTTGAAGATCCGGTAGTAACAATAGCACATGACTATCATGGGAATAACCAAATTACATGCTGTATTGATAGCAGAGTGTACAAACTGCTTCGGCTGTTTGGGAGGAAGAGGCCCACACTGTGATGCTCCTTTCTTGTAGGCTGTCAAAACATACATAAAAACATATTACATCATGATTATATAAAGTAATAATAATTAAAGGCCCCAATAGAAATAAGTCAATTTGACTTTTCTGGGTTATCCCAGGTTCTCTACACATCTGCTGCTATGTATGATAGTCTATGTAACTATATTTGTGTATACCTGAATAAACTTACTTATCTTTATTTTTATAAACATATGTAGAAGGTATACAGGCCTACCTGACATTAATGACGTACTACTATACAGAAAGCCGCTCGTTATGCAGAGCATTTTGGGTAAATTAGGTCAATTTTGTCACAGGATGCGACCTACACCAGTCGACTAACACCCAGGTACCTATTTTTTACTGATAGGTGGACAGGGACAAAAGGTACCTTAAGGAAACACATCTTAATGTTTCCACCCGTACCGGAGATCAATTCCTGGACTTCAGTGTGTGAGCCGAGTGCTCTAGCAAAGATAATTGCAGTGAGGAACTTTGTTGAGATGTTTTACCTGTGGAATGTTTTTTTTCAGACAATGGAGGAAATAAAGGCAAAAGTGTGTCCCTCCAATGCCACAGGAAAAGAAGTGTGAAGTACAACTGTGTGTTGAAGAATTTAAGCTTTATGATTGATCATCACACCCGTGTTACAGTTTTCAGGGACTCAAAGACTCCCATATGTTGCATAAGAACATAAGATGTGATGAATGGTTTGAAAAACCGACAAGTTGAAGATTGAGACACTTATGCAGCATATGGAAATCTTTATTCAGGAAACGATTCGCCACACAGTGGCTTCATCAGATGTGATGAATGGTTTGAAAAACCGACAAGTTGAAGATTGAGACACTTATGCAGCATATGGAAATCTTTATTCAGGAAACGATTCGCCACACAGTGGCTTCATCAGTGGCTTCAAAAACTCTGTAGAGTTTTTGACTAAAAAAAAGGTGCAACAGGGAAAGAGTGGACCTAGCAGAGATCTGCGAAGAGGAGAGGCCAGGAGCTAAGACTTGACCCTACAACCACAAATCGGCGAGTACAGCAAGATTCCCAGGGAAAACTGTTCTTTCTTCATTCTGGTGGAGCACTCAATATAATCATACTATGTAATGTATCAATCTCATCTTACTCTGTCTCAGCTTTTTAGTCTAGTCTCGTCTCTAGTTCCTTCTCCTCCTCCTCTCCCTCAGGGAACTGAACCTCTGCCATTCCTTGTGCTGAATAGCCCACATGAGTTTACTTCACACACACACACATATATATATATATATATATATATATATATATATATATATATATATATATATATATATATATATATAATATATATATATATATATATATATATATATACCGGACAGTACACGTTATTCTCATCTCTGATATCAGTTTATGCACTAGACTATTGACTAACTGGTCTGTATACAGCTTACAATCTCTTATGTGCACATGAATTTGTAGGAACTCCCATGTGTAGTCGTACTGCACATATATACGAGTGTTTTAGGCAACAATGATGCTGCTGCTGTTTCTTTAGCCTCGCAGTTTATCATCATCATCGAAGGCTGACACTAGCTATCTTTGCTGTTATTGTAGAAGTGTCAGGGGCCCGAGACTGTTCAACTGCCTCCCAGCATACATAAGGGGGATTACCAACAGACCCCTGGCAGTCTTCAAGCTGGCACTGGACAAGCACCTAAAGTCGGTACCTGACCAGCCAGGCTGTGGCTCGTACGTTGGATTGCATGCAGCCAGCAGTAACAGCCTGGTTGATCAGGCTCTGATCCACCAGGCGGTCTGGTCACAGACCGGGCCGCGGGGGCGTTGACCCCCGGAACTCTCTCCAGGTAAACTCCAGGAAAGTTAAGCCAACAACTATTTGATAACTTTAAAAGTTCACATTAACACTCATATTTGCACCATATATATTACCTTGCATTTCATTCCCTATAATCTTGGCAAACCAATTTATTTCCAATTTCCAATTTGTGCACACATACAGAGGTACAAAAGAATACAGATAAGAGCAGTATGCCAAAGCCACTTATACTATGCATAGCATTACGGGCTGGCTTAAAATTAACTTAAGATTAACTAAGCAATGATTATTATTATTATTATAATCAAAAAGAAGCGCTAAGCCACAAGGACTATACAGCGCTGCTACTAAGCAATGATGAAATCAGTGATAAAACATTAATGTAAACAGATAACTATAAAGCACAAGTGAGTATTACAAAGACAGGTCATATGGTTGCATTCAGTTAGGTAGTGATTCTGTTAGGTAGTGTATTTAAAAAATAATAAGTTAGATTGGGTTTTAGGTTTAACATTTATGTGATATAATTGTGAGAAACATTTAAGATATACAATTTATAATGTTCAGTTATTCAGTATTTATTTGGTTTTGGGTGAATAAGTAATCTTTGAGAAGAGACTTGAATTTATAAACAGGTTGTGTTTCTTTTATATTTACAGGTAATGAATTCCAGATTTTAGGGCCTTTTATGTGCATTGAGTTTTTGCATAGTGTGAGATGGACACGAGGAACATCAAAGAGTGATCTGTGCCTTGTGTTATGGTCATGTGTTCTGTTGAGGTTGGCAAGGAGATGTTTGAGGGGAGGGTTAATATCAGAGTTAAGTGTTCTATGTATGTAATAGGTGCAGTAATAAGTATGGATGTTTTGTATGGTGAGTAGGTTTAGTGTATTGAATATTGGTGGAGTGTGCTGCCTGTAGTGAGAATTTGTTATCATTCTAACTGCAGCCTTTTGTTGGGTAATTAGTGGTCTGAGATGGTTAATTGTTGTTGAGCCCCATGCACAAATTCCATAGGTGAGATAGGGGTAAATAAGAGAGTGATATAGGGCCAAGAGGGCTGACTGTGGAACATAGTACCGTATCTTCGATAGTATGCCTACAGTCTTGGAAATTTTCTTAGAAATTTGATGTATATGTGTATGAAATTTGAGTCTATTATCAAGGTGGATTCCTAATAATTATATTCATAGAAAATGCTAACCCTGTGGAGGTGTTAACGCAGACCCTATTATTTTTTTTTTTTAACTGGATCAGATTTGATAAATCAACTGTAACTTCCTCTCTCAATTCTTCTTCTCAGGTTCTTTTAAAAAGAGGAGACTGTCAGAAGAGCAGGTCAGAAAATTTAAGCATGCTTTCTGATGAGCAGGACAGCAAATTATGAGATGTTGGACTACTGATGCTGGCAAATGTGAGCAAACACTAGTATATATTCATTAGAAAACGTTTCAGTCGTGGTCTCATGATCACTTAGGTACCAAAACTTTTTTTTGTCCTAGTGTTTATCATGTCTTTTTAGACCACGATTGACTATCAGCAAGACCTGAAAGCAAGAGCCTAGGGTATTTTTGTCTCCTATTAGCGTATGAATACACACTACTCACATTTAGTCATTTTGTCTTATCATTTTTAAGCCACTGGCATCGTGGTTGCCCAGCTTATTTGTACCCTTAATGAGAAAAGTATAGAGCTTAGAGCATTGAGTACGGCATTTAGATACCATAACATAGGACTGTTAGCTTCCAGCTGAATGGTATTTTTTGTTCCGAGTGTAAGTTTATTAGTGAATGCTAATGTCCGGAAAGGTGCAGTCTTGGTCTCGCAGATTTGATGCACAAGATCTGCGTCTTGGGGAGGAGGGGGAGTGTAAGGCATGTACAGTATACTTATTTCACTGGTAGCTGCCCAGGTCTTTTGAATATAGTACTATAATCTGAAATTTATTTATATCAAAAAATATCATTAAGCAACCACAGGTAGTTACCTAATTGTTCATTAATGAACAATTAGTTAATTGACTAGTTAATTAGACTATCTGTTCATTAGTCAGTTAGACAGAGGGTTTATTGTGCCAGCAGCAATACAATTTCAACGAATTTTTATAAGACAACAAAGAGAAATTTACCGATTAAGTGAACTTTTGTTGAAAATAGCAATATCAGATGATGTCTTAATATGTCAGTTGTTTAAAGCTTGACTAATTTGAATAACAATGTGGCGAGAAATTAAATTTAAAAAGTTAGAAAGCTCCTCTTGGCTGAGCCAGAAACATTAGTTGTGGGGAAGGGTCAGTAACCAGTTATCCAGAAGGAAGGACTTGAGGTGCTGTGGTCCGTGAGGGGACATCGCCTTGCAGCAGTTTTACCTGTGTTCCTTGGTACTGATTTAATAGTTAACTTCACTGGGTTCTCACATTCGAGTTAGTGATTAGGTCATCTGAGGTAGTCTCTCTGATCTTTGCTGGAAACGACTTACAACTGCCAACTAACACCTAGGTACCTATTTATCACTAGACGAATAGAGGCAATTGATGTAAGGAAACTTGGCCAAACGTCTTGCCCTGCCCACTCTAGATGCAGTATTGATAATTATAAGGTTGAACTACTACACGTTAATCGCCTGTGATACCTTGACCTGGATATATGATATATGAATGTATGTTTACCTGGAGAGGGTTTTGGGGGTCAACGCCCCCGCGGGCCGGTCTGTGACTAGGCCTCATGGTGGATCAGGGTCTGATCAACCAGTTTGTTACTGCTGGCTGCATGCAAGCTGACGTACGAACCACAGCCCGGTTGGTCAGGTACTGACTAAGTGCCTGTCCAGTGTCTTCTTGAAGACAGCCAGGGGTCTATTGGTAATCCCCCTTATGTATGCTGGGAGGCAATTGAACAGTCTTGGGCCCCAGACACTTATTGTGTTGTCTCTCAGTGTACTCGTGGCGCCCCTGTTTTTCAGCGGGGAAATATTGCATCTCCTGCCGAGCCGTTTGCTTTCATATGGAGCGATTGTCGTGTGCAGGTTTGGTACCAATCCCTCCAGGACCTTCAAAGTGTAAATTATCATGCATCTCTCGCCTGCGTTCGAAGGAATACAGATCAAGGACCTGCAACCATTCCCAGTAGTTTCGGTGCCTTATTGTAATTATGTGTGCCGTGAAAGTTCTTGGTACACTCTCCAGGTCTGTAATGTCGCCAGCCTTGAAGGGGGCAGTTAGTATACAGAAGTATTCCAGCCTAGAGAGCACAAGCGATTTGAAGAGAATCATCATGGGCTTGGCATTCCTAGTTTTGAAGGTTCTCATTATCCATCCTATCATTTTCCTAGCAGATGAGGTAGATACATTGTGGTCTTTGAAGGCGAGATCCTCTGATATTATCACTCCCAGGTCCTTCACATTACTCTTCCACTCTATTGTATGGTTAGAATTTGTTGTATACCTTGACACATTTTTAATTTCTTCAAGATTCCCATATCTGATTGGTTGAAATTTCTCCTTGTTGAACTTCATATTGTTTCGAGTGGCCCATGCAAAGATTTGGTTGATGTCCGCTTGGAGTCTCGCGGTGTCTTCAACGGAGGTCACTGCTATGGCTTACATCTCTACGTCAGAAATGAGGATGAGGAATAGAATGAGAGTGAGTACTGTGCCTTGTGGAACAGAGCTTTTTACCATGGCTGCCTGGGACTTTACTCTGTTTACTATTACTCTTTGTGTTCTATTTGTCAGGAAGTTGTAGATCCATCTACCAACTTTTCCCGTTATTCCTTTATCACGCATTTTGTGTGCTATTACACCATGGTCACACTTGTCGAAAGCTTTTGCAAAGTCTGTGTATACTACATCTGTATTGTGTTTATCCTCTATAGCATCCAGGACCTTGTCACAGTGGTCCAGTAGCTGGGACAGGCAGAAGCAACCTGCTCTAAACCCATGTTGCCCTGGGTTGTGTAAGTGATGGGTATCTAGGTGGTTGGTTATCTTGCTTCTCAGAACCCAAAGATTTTTATGATATGAGATGTTAGTGCTATCAGTCTGTAGTTCTTTGCAATTGCTTTACTGCCACCTTTGTGGAGTGGGGCTATGTTTGTTGTTTTTAGTGTGTGTGGGGATGATCCCTGTGTCCATGCTCCCTCTCCATAAAATGCTGAAGGCACGTGATAGGGGATTCTTGCAATGCTTGACGAACACGGAGTTCCACGAGTCTGGGCCAGGGGCAGAGTGCATGGGCACGTCATTAATTGCCTCTTCAAAGTCTTGTGGAGTTAGAATAATATCCGAGATTTTTGGGATGACCAAATTTTGGGTTTCGTTCATAAAGAATTCATTTGGATTGTCGACCCTTAGTCTGCAGTGGCTCGCTGAATACAGTCATATTGGGACTTTAGTATATCACTCATTTCTTGGCTATCATCCCGCCTAAGCAGGGGCCCAATACTGGATGCTGTTTTTCCCTTAGATTTGGCATAAGATTTTTTTTTTTTAATTTTCCTTTATGACTTTTAGTTCTTCCTGTGATTCTTGTCTCCTATAAGATTCCTTCAGCTTAAGTTCAATAATTGCAATTTCATTGACTAGTGCCTCCCTTCGTATTTCAGACATATTGGCCCCACTCAGCAGCTCTGTGACTCTTCGCCTTCATCTGTATAGGGAACGTCTCTCTTTCTAGTTTACATCTGCTCTTTCTTTTTCTTAATGGAATGTGTCTTGAGCAGATCTCAAGAACCACAGAATTCACTTTTTCAAGGCAAATGTTTGGATTTGTGTTGTTTAGGATATCTTCCCAGCTTGTTTCATTTAGGACATGGTTTACTTGATCCCATTTTATGTTTTTGTTATTGAAATTGAATTTCGTGAAGAGACCTTCATGACTGATCACGTTTTGCTGGTCTGGAACCCTGTGCATACATGTTTGTACCTCTGTTATGTTGTGATCTGAGTGTATTGTCTCTGATAGTTATATTACGTATCAGATCGTCATTGTTAGTGATGAGGTCTAGCGTATATTCTAGTCTTGTAGGCTCTACTATTTGCTGACTTAAGGTGAATTTGGTGCAGAGATTTAAGAGTTCGTGTGTGTGTGTGTGAATTTTCATCTGAGCTGCCTCCTGGGGTGATCTCTGCTAAAATATTGTTTGCTATACTCCTCCATTTTAGGTGCCTGAAGTTGAAATCTAGTAGTAGTAAGATGTTTGGGGCAGGAGTTGGAAGATTTTCCAGACAGTGGTCAATTTTCTCAAGCTGCTCCTGGAATTCTTGGGAAGTTGCATCTGGAGGCTTGTATACTACCACAATGACAAGGTTTTGGTTTTTAATCTTTGCCGCCAAAACTTCAACTACATCATTTGAGGTGTTTAGTAGTTCTGTGCAAATGAGCGACTGACATTCATGACAACCCCCCCCCCCCCTCTTGTTGCCTGTTTAGTCTGTCGTATCGGAATAGGTTATAAGCTGGGATCCATATTTCTTTGTCATAATGATCCTTTATGTGGGTCTCTGTGAATGCTGCAAACATTGCATTCGACTCCGTGAGCAGTCCCTTGATGTAAGCGATTTTGTTGTTTTTTGACGGCTTCAGACCCTGTTTGTTGGCAAAGGCAAATGTCGTTGTATTGGTGGAATTTAGGGGGGTTTTATTTGCTGGCTCTAATATCTGTTGTGGGAAGAAACTATTATTCACTGGACATAAGCGAGATATGATAGTTTTGTATTAGATATCTTGGAGGTTCTCCAATGCCAGGAAAAAATGACGATGACTCCCAGTCTGACCTATATCATGAACATCATTTTGTCTGCTTCCTGGGCACAATGTCCCCAACTGTATGTAGACCGTAATTACTGGTCCAAATAAAAAATACTCTGGTCATGATTTGTGTTATGCCACCATCACAAATCAGATTGAGTGTTTAACTACTGTTTATAAATGTTATCTATAACAATTTCCTCACTTTTAATTCCACTTATTAATATATTATACCGCACTGACTTGATGGATTTGGTACGATAGCTGCACCTTTTAAAGTTCATAAAAGATTTATTCTCTGATAATTATATTTTGGATAACGAACCATTTAATGATAGACCAATTTAGTGTTCATTCTTGAAAGTTACAACTTGACTGGTATCAGCGAGATATTCTATATATCTCTATTCACAATAAAGAATATCAAGTGTTGATAAATCAGACTCGTGTGCAACACTAGGGTATCTTTACTAAGGAAAAGTTTCGCCACACAGTGGCTTCAGCAGTCCTCTACAAACAAGAATGGTGAAGACCACAAGGAGTTTTAACTAATCAGTCCCTCAGCCTGGAGTCGATATAATCAGTTCCTCAACCTGGAGTCTATGTTATCAGTCCATCAATCTTGAAAAAATACAGCATATGTGCGAAGAAGTGGCTTATGTACTGTATACAGATGTGAAGCAGTCATATGTAATACCACACTGGACAAATCCACATGTGGAAGTAGGTCATGCCTTTAGGTTAGGCAGACGAAGAATTCCCTGTATCTATATTCCTGTCAGACACAGCAACATCTTCTTGGGATCTTGATACACAGAATTCTTCACTTACCTAACCTACAAGTATGACCTACTTCCACATGTGGATTTGTCCAGTGTGGTATCACATATGACTGCTTTACATCTGTATACAGTACATAAGCCACTTCTTCGCGCATATGCTGAATTCTTTTCAAGATTGATGGACTGATTACATCGACTCCAGGTTGAGGAACCGATTACCTCAAACTCCTTCTGATCTTCAACATTCTTGTTTGCATAGGGCTGATAAAGCCAGTGTGGCGAAACGTTTCCTCAATAAAGATGCCCAAGAGCTGCACGTGTCTAATTTATCAACTTGTCGGTTCTCTGAGCCATTTATCTGCAATATCAATGGTGATGTGGGGAATATAATTCACAGGAGGTACTTGGATCAAGGAGAATGGATATTAGAAAAACTCATTCCACTTGAAAGTTCTACCTGACAAGTTCATGGAAGACACAGGTAAATTTAACACTACGTGATGTATGCTTAAGTAATAAGGTAAGATTACCTTAGTAAGCCCCCAACAAAACACTTATAAAAATTTTAAATTATATGAAGCCTAATAACCTTACACACTACTTTTTTCTTAAGAGTTCATTGCAGCCAATAAGTTACTACACAGTAAAGTAAAGTATTTATTTAAAGTAGTTTGTCTAGGATTTATTTCACCATTTGTGTTCAACTGTTTATGAAAGATGTATCTTACTTGTATTAGTCAATCCTATGAGAGGAGTCGGGGTAAGGTTGAACAGGATGGTCCAGACCCACGCTGCAACAATCATCATCACAATCTTGCGAGGAGTCATGCAAGTAGAAAATGGCCGGGTGATGGAGATGAACTTGTGGATGCTGTGAACAAAGAGTTACTGGTCAGTCAAGAAGAAAAATTACTGGTAGCTACCAAAAAATGGTAAAAGTTCTTGCCTCAGTGGTACTACCTGGGAGTTTATTCCATTCATCTACAACCATTACCAAACCAATGTTTCCCAATATCCTTTCTAATTCTAAATTTCTCCAACTTGAATTCATTGGTGGGAGTCCTGTCCTGGTTAGATATTTTTCATGTGCTATTTATCCTTCTGTTACATTTGTACACTCAACCATATATCCATTAACTTTTTTAATTTATGTTGTTACTTCTGTTTACAGTAAATATTAGTGATTGTTATTGCCAAGTCGTTTGTGAAGGAGAAACAGTGAAATGGATAATCTTCACAATTCCATGTGGAGTTATAATGTTATGCTACGTTCAATGTATGAAAATAAGGTACTATATATCTTTATTAATCATAATAGAAAATTAGTCCGTATCTGCCTTCATTATAGAAGTGTTGAAGAAATACTTCAAAGAATATCAGTGTAGGTTAATAAGGGAGCCAAAATTGACAACCTGTCCAAAGTACCCAAATTCCCCAGCCCAGACCAAGTTGAGAGAGTACAGATGTAAGAATAGTGCAATATGTCATATAATTCACTGGTCAACAACCAAAATGCTTCCGAGACCAGAGTAGCAATTTCCAACTAATTTTAGGTCACTGATAATGAATATCATGGTTAAAATTGTTTGTTAGCTCTACTTTTCAATATACACCTACGTGTCACAGTTGGTCCCAAGTCTTGTGGCAGTGTGTTTCTTCCCACACTCACAGTCTGACTGACCATTATTGTTCCAGCAGTCATAGAAGGTGGTTGTGATGTCCAAGTTTATATTTTGAGGTGAAAGGTAGATGATTTTCTTAGCCAAACAGGGCGGATACACCAAATACTGCTGCTTTCTATGTGAATGGGGCAGCCGTGCAAGAGGTTCCCACTACATCAGGAGAGACTGGCCACCTCGTCAATCATTGGAGCCTTGGATGAAAAATGTTCAACATCCACCTCTCATTGAACAAAACAAAATTTTGCTACCGCCACTACACATAAAACTGGGGCTCATGAACAACTATGTAAAACCTCTGGACAAATCCGGTCAGGGATTCAAGTATTTAACATCAAAATTCCCCTCACTGAGCGACGCTAAGATGAGAGAGGGAGTCTTCAATGGTCCTCAGATTCGAGAGCTTTTTAAGATAGTGACTTTGATCAGACCTTCATGGGGAGGAGAAAGTTGCTTGGGAAGCATTCAAGTTAGTGGCCAAGGGATTTCTGGGAAACAGAAGAGAAGGCAACTACGATGAACTGGTGGAAAACCTCATCAAGGCTTACAAGAACATGGGATCTAACATGTCACTTAAAATCCACTTTTGGGACTCACATTTAGACTTTTTTCCAGCGAACTGTGGGGCAGTTAGTGACGAACATGGTGAAAGGTTTCACCAAGATATTTCAACCATGAAGAAATGGTACCAGGGCAAATGGGGCACAAGAATGCTTGCAGACTATTGCTGGACATTGGCAAGAGATGATTCTTCAACCCACTATAAGCGTCAAGCAAAATGGCAGAGAGTAGGTACGGATTAGAATTTAACACATACTGACATGTACGTTATAATAAAATAATCAAATATTACATGTCTTGTATCTTTAAACTTACAGCCAATAAGCATTTTTCAATGTGATATTTGGATCCAGAACATAAAAATTACACAAGAATTAACTAATCGCATTTGAGAAGCATACAACTTTTCAAAAATTGTTGACCAGTGAATCTGACTTTTCTGCATTAACCTTGGTGAAATTTGGTGTAATTTGCATAAGTCATCACTAGTGTAAGCTTACAGATGGTATATGGTTCAGAGGTAGTGCATTCGCCTCACGTAAGTAACCATTCTACAGAATTCATTACCTTTGTAACTTGTGAGTTCATTACCTTTGTACCTAGTTCAGCTATCAAAACTTTGGGGGCCCAGTCCCTGGACCCATTACGTACCTCTGTAATCTGTAAATACCTTTGTAACTTGTCATGATTGTGACCAGACCTACCTGGAGTTCATTACCTTTGTAAATTGTGAGTTCATTACCTTTGTAAATTGTGAGTTCATTACCTCTGTAACTTGCTCAGCTATCAAAACTTTGGAGTCCAGTCCCTGGACCAATTATGTACCTCTGTAATCTTTTGACTACCGCCCACAGGATGGGTATGGGGTGCATAATAAACATATTAAACTAACTAAAAACTGAACAACCTGGATCTGATACCAATAATAAAATAAAATTAATTATTATTTCGAACATAAAGTTAAACCATAGCCGGGATTGAACCCGCGGTCAGAGAGTCTCAAAACTCCAGCCCGTCGCGTTAGCCACTAGACCGCGGGTTCAATCCCGGCCGGGGTATGGTTTGTTTGCAATCGTGTCATTACGATTTCGTGAGTCAACATAAAGTTGATTTTGCAATGGAGACAATTATATTTTGTGCGTAAGAGAAAACACACCTATAGACAGGCAAAGAAAAAAAAATACAGTAATCCAACCTAACTTAATCTAGATTTAAAAATTAATTTTAGGTTACTTTGGGTTACGTTTAATTTTGGGTTACCAAAACAAAATGCTTTCTCCCCATAAGCCCAAAAATATAACTGTCTCCAATTACATAACGTATTTAATATTGGAAAACTTGCATAATAAATACTTGAGCCTATAATCTCAACATAACTAAGACCTTCAATTATGTACAACTATTTTGGTTTAATCGGTAAAAAATGTACAACTGTTAACTGGCAGATTTTGACCATTATAGTTCAAACTGTACAATATAATCCTGATTTCACAGCTGAAATATTATCCTGTTTTCCAAATGATAAAAAAAAAGTAACCTAAGGCAACCTACCTAACCCAACTTGAAATAAACCCCTGATCATCGGTACATAACTTTGAATGGTTTAGAAAACCAACAAGATGATAAATAAGACATTTGTGCATCACCTGGGAAATCTTCATTGTGGAAACGTTTCGCCAGCCACCTGGCGAAACGTTTCCATAATAATAATTCCAGTGTTGTGTAAGAAAGGTATAAAATACCGACAATATGAAAGTTAAGACACATGTGCAACATCTGGATATCTTTATTGTAGACGTTTCGCCATCCAGTGGCTTTATCAATACAGATTCTAGGACATAATATGAAGACAGTAGAACTATATACAAAAGATGAGGTAATCAGTCCCTCGGCCTACCAGTGACTGCCCTCGTCTGCTGCCCGTCCCTTCCACTGACGCCTATATAAACGTCAGTCTTCTTGCCTTTGCTCCAGATTCTCCTCCACCACGATGCTGTGAACACTAACTCCAAGGCCGAGGGACTGATTACCTCATCTTTTGTATATAGTTCTACTGTCTTCATATTATGTCCTAGAATCTGTATTGATAAAGTCACTGGGCACATGTCAAGACTCGACATTAAACATTCCCTTGTGGGTTTAGCGCTTAGTTTTGATTGTAATAATACACCGGTTGTCTATGTTCACCCATCAGTAAAATGGGTACCTGGGTGTTAGTGGACTGGTGTGGGTCGCATCCTGGGACAAAACTGACCTAATTTGCCCGAAATGCTCTGCATAACAAGCGACTTTCTATATAGCAGTATGTTACTGATGTTAGCTAGGCCTGTATACCTTGTACATGTACTTGTAGAAAATAAAGGTTATATTGTCAAATGTAAACTTATGCCCAAGTTTCGCACATTAGTAGTCAGAAACTACAGTCGTTTAGTGTTTTCTGAGGGTTGTAAATTTGCAGCTACACTTGCTGCTGCATTATTTATTGTTAGTGTATTGTCAGTGACTGTCCATGTTGGTAGGTAAGACACATAGGCAACAGTTAGGCAACTTTATTCCGAAACGTTTCGCCTACACAGTAGGCTTCTTCAGTCGAATACAGAATGTAGGCAGGAACATTAGAGATGTGAAGACGATGTAATCAGTCCATCACCCTTGAAGTCGTAGAATTTGAGGTTGTCAGTCCCTCAGCCTGGAGAAGTTCAGTTCCATAGTCAGGAACTATCTGAGATAGTTCCTGACTATGGAACAGAACTTCTCCAGGCTAAGGGACTGACAACCTCAAATTCTACTTCAAGGGTGATGGACTGATTACATCGTCTTCACATCTCTAATGTTCCTGCCTACGTTTCGGAATAAAGTTGCCTAACATAAGAACATAAGAACGAAGGAACACTGCAGCAGGCCTATTGGCCCATGCGAGGCAGGTCCAAGTCTCCTACCGGCTTAAGCCAATGCACCCAACCCAGTCAGGTCAGGTCACATTGACTTAAGGGAGGAACACGGCAACCGTCCTGGTAGCACAAGCTATCAGGTCCAACTCACACCCACCCACACCCACTCATGTATTTATCCAACCTATTTTTAAAGCTACACAACGTTCTGGCCTCTATAACTGTACTCGGGAGTTTGTTCCACTCATCCACAACTCTATTACCAAACCAGTACTTTCCTATATCCTTCCTGAATCTGAATTTTTCCAACTTAAAACCATTGCTGCGAGTCCTGTCTAGGCTGTGGCCCGGTGGTCTGGTGGCTAAAGCTCCCGCTTCACACACGGAGGGCCCGGGTTCGATTCCCGGCGGGTGGAAATTCCGACACGCTTCCTTACACCTATTGTCCTGTTCACCTAGCAGCAAATAGGTACCTGGGTGTTAGTCGACTGGTGTGGGTCGCATCCTGGGGGACAAGATTAAGGACCCCAATGGAAATAAGTTAGACAGTCCTCGATGACGCACTGACTTTCTTGGGTTATCCTGGGTGGCTAACCCTCCGGGGTTAAAAATCCGAACGAAATCTTATCTTATCTTCAGCACACTATTTACATCTCCTTTATTTATTCCTGTCTTCCATTTATACACCTCAATCATATCCCCCCTAATTCTACGTCTTTCTAGAGAGTGCAGTTTCAGGG